CCCGCACCGATGGAGGACGTCCCGGGGGGAGCAGGGCTGAGGGCGGGCGGCGCTGCGGCGGAGGGCTGGGGGACACGGAGTGGGATCAGCTCCGGAGCTGGGAACGCCACGAGGCCCTCGGCCCACTATGGACCACGTTCTCCAGAGGATGGGGTGTTTCCATCCCTCAGGAAAGACCCCAAACCTCCTCAAACCACCATGGACCCCGTACTCGAGGGATGGAGCACTGACCTGGAGCCTCATCCCTTGGGAAACACCCCAAACCCCCTCATCCCACCACGGATCCTGTTCTCCAGGGGATGGAGCGCTGACCTGGAGTCCCATCCCTCAGGAAACACTCCAAACCCCCTTGTCCCACCATGGATCCCGCTCTTCAGAGGATGGAGTGTTTCCATCCCTTAGGAAACACCCCAAACCCCCTCGTCCCACCACGGATCCTGTTCTCCAGGGGATGGAGCACTGACCTGGAACCTCATCCCTCAGGAAACACCCCAAACCCTATCATCCCACATGGACCCTGTTCTCCAGGGGATGGAGTGTTTCCATCCCTCCGGAAACACCCCAGACCTTCCTCATCCTGCCGCTAATCCCCATTGGATCCCAGAGATCCCAGTTCCTCAGGGGATGGAGCTCTCCACCCAGACACCCCAATCCCCTCCCATTCCCCTGCAGATCCCCACTGGATCCCACGATCCACCTGTGCCCGGCGCCGGCCTGGAGCCAGGTGTCATCCACGGGCGGAGGGACAGGTGTGGACACGGTGCTGGTGCTGATGTCTCCGATGATCCCGAGAGCTTCCTTCAGCGCGTGGTACATCCGGAGCATCTCGTCCCGGCGCTGTGCCTGCTCCACCGACTCTTCCATCAGGCTGCTCTGGTCAGCCGAGGAGTACAGGTAGGCCAGGAGCTCCGAGTGGATGAAATCCTTGGTCTGGAAACAACGGGAAGGGAACGACATGTCACAGGACATTCAGCACCATCAGTTTGTGGGAAAGGTGGAGAATGGGAGCAGTTCCTCAGCAATTCCGTGACCAAGTGGCTCAAGGGCAAACACATGGAGATCAAGAGCCAAAATTCATGGAACCATGGAATGGTTTGGGTTGGCAAAGCCTTGGAGCCCACTGAATCCAACCTTTCCCCAAGGGACACATCCACAGATCTTTAGCACTTCCAGGGACGGTGACTCCTCCCCGCTTGTGCCAGGGCTGGAAAACCCATTCCAGGAGGAATTTTGCCCAAATCCAACCTAAACATTCTCTGGCACAACCCAAGGGCATTTCCTCTCCTGCTGTCACTTGGGCTAAGGGACCAACCCCCACCTGACTCCAACCTCCTTCCAGGGAATTATTGGGAGCCAGGTTCCCCAGAGCCTCCTTTCTCCAGGCTGAGTCCCTCCAGTTCCCTCAGCTGCTCCCACAAGTTCTCCAGCCCCTTCTCCCATTTCCCAGCCCCTCCTCCTGTTGTCCAGACCCTTCTCCTGCCCTTTCTCCATGCTTTCTTGCCCCTTCTCCCATCCTCCAGCCCCATCCCTGCTCACATTGTTGATCATGAGGTGCATGATGGTCTTTGGCATGAGGTCCCGGATAGATTTGTTGATGATCCCAACGTAGGAGTCGACGAGGTTGCGGATGGTCTCCACCTGCCGCTCCAGCTGCGGATCCATGGAGAAGGTGTTCTCCTGTGCTCCGTCCTCGCTCTCTGTCTGCGCGGGAAAGCAGGGAATGAGTTACCGCCGGGATCGGAGAGACCCGGGCAGAAACCCCTCTGCTCCACAACATTCCCAGTCCCTATTCCCGTCCTTGGGGGCTATTCCACAGCCTGGAACGACTCGATCCATCAGGCAGCACAAACTGGTGCTCCCTTGGGAATTTCATCTTCTTCCTGGCATTTTCCAGGGTATCCCAGGAGCTCGGGTCCTCCAGCAGGAGCCAAGCCAGGGGCTCCCAGGGCTCCCAGCTCCTCCGGCCACCTCTCCCAGGAACAGCCCCTGCTCCGGGGGGATCGGGCACTTGGGGGGGTTTACTTGGTCTTTCTCGGGATAAACTCCTGCCCGGAGGAAGGAAGCTTTCCAGCTGTCCACATCTTCCTGGGAATCACAGGCCAGTTCAATCTGACGGAGATCCTTGTACACATTCCTGGGGAAGGAGCAAAGCCAGAGGTTGGGATCACAGGGAGGGCAGGAGCTCTCCACGACCCTTGGAGCCCCAAATCCCAAGAGAATCTGCATATAAATATTGGATAGGGCGCTGCTTCCTCCAGAGAAATCCCCTCCACGGGATCCCAGGTGCTCTAGCCTCGGAATGCACCGGGAGATGCCAGATGCAGAGCCAGAATTCAGAACAGCAATGTCCGAGGGAAGGGAAATCCACGAAAACCATCACCCTGTGCCCATGGAGCAGCTCCAGAGTGATCCTGGATGCCAGGAGGTTCCATACCTCTGCTCCGTGTTGAAGATGGCGAAGACATGCTTGTTGGACATAAATCCCTTCTCCACATCCCTGATTTTCAGATTATCCAATGGCAGCATGTACTTCTTCTCCTTCTCCTGGAAAAGGGGATGAAGGGAGGGACGGATGAGCCCAGCAGCACTTCTGTAATGCCAAGGCACCCGAAGCGGAAAGAACCCCCAGCCCTGGGAATGCCGCACGGATCCGAGCTCCAGAGCAGATCCCAAGCTCTCACCAGAGCAGATTCACTGGGAGACACTTCCCAGCTCATCCCATGGCGAATGCCAGCCTGGAATGGGGTCTGCTCCTGAAGCCACAGCGTCCCAGCACACAGAGGGACCGTGGATCCCTGCTGTGCTGCTCTGCCTTTCCCAAGGATGCTGAGGAACCCACTGGAGGTTTGTGATTTGGTCCAGCTCCGTGGGCAGCTCCAGGATGGAGCCAGATTCCCAGATCCCAACCCGCTGCCACCGTGCCCCAGGAACGTCCCCCTGGAGTCGGAGCCTCGGAGCCGATTCCAGCGGCAGTTTCCCGCCCTGCCGAGGGGCCACCGGAACACCACATCTGGAGTTGTTTAGAGCAGCTCCAGCTCCACTTTGTCTCCAGATGGTCCCAAAAAGTGACGTTGGCCTTTGTGGAGAGG